GGGGGGGGGGGGGGGGGGGGGGGGGGGGGGGGGGGGGGGGGGGGGGGGGGGGGGGGGGGGGCAAGAGATGGGACAGACACGCACGCACACAAACAGACACATAGACAAGAGAAAAGCACGCATTCCGCCCGTTCAAGATTCGCCACCCTCGCTTTTTTTTTGTGTCATATTCTTTCGGGGACGCGTGAAACAGGGCACACCCTTGAAGATCAAGGTTACGACGCGGTCCAACGTGGCCTTGGTCGCGGCGGAAGTGTCAAACTTGGAGCAGATCCGTGCACGAAACGGGGCCGGGGCTTTCTCGAAGCATTTCGTGGGGTTTGAGGAGAATATCGACAACTACAACGGCCGGTGAGCCCTGGGAGCAAGATTATTGTACTGCTTCATTGCCGCTGATACTGCTCTGGCGTGGAGCTGACTGCATTTGATTTTCATGCCCCTGCCGCATGTGCTAGTCTGCGTGTGGATCCCAATATTGTTGCACGTGCTGCTGTTGACACATTTGAAGGTAGAACGCATTCCGATGTTTGAGTTATACAGAACCAAATCAACCCCCCAATGGACAGATGTATCACTCTGACAAGAAGGATATCAATCGTTGGAAGGATGGGTACGATAGGTTGTCACTCTGGCGTATTTCCCTCGATCGTACTCGAGCAACCGTGAAGAAGCAGTTGCACACAATCACCGAGCAAGAAGCGGGTAGTAGATGGAAGAATCTGCTACAGTCCTGCCTCGCCATTCACACATCGCGCAACGGGATACCTGTGCTTTCCTTGTTTGTTGTCGAGATAGACCCGTGAGTCGCCTGATTACGGAGCTCCCCCACCGTGATCCCTCGTTCCTCACTCCAACCAGCAACATGGCCATGTTTGTGCATCGCTCATTTTACGTGTTTGTCCCAGGGGAGACTTTGCGATGGTGATGCGGGCGGGGAGCACCGACCTTCGCAAGCTGGCAGAAGTCAACGGGGGGGGGCTGTCCCAAAACAAGCTGAGGAAGTACGGCGCAGCCATGGCCAGCGCCATGCGGTGAGTAGACACGTTGAAAGTGAACGGGGGCGTGTCCTCGCTTTGGGTGTATCTCTGAGTGTCTTCAGTTATTGGCGTGATTTTGGTTCTTGAAATTCTTAGCGACATGTGACGTTGTATTCGTTTTCTCTTCTTTCTTGTCAGTATTTCCCGAGTCCAAGCGATAGGCGCTTTTCTACCTCAATTCCTCCGGCCTGTTTCTCCATGCGTACTTTTCTGGGATCTCGCTGTTGTGTTCAGATGCTCGCCGGTTCGATGTCCGGGTTGCTCCCTCGCTCTCTTGTATTTTATGCAGGCAGTACTAGGTCGAGGGTGGAAAGGTGTTGTGATGTTAGGTCAACGACCACCCTTCTCGAGGCTAGAATGGCTTTTCAGCCATGTTGCGATGATTTCGTTCCTCCCCCCTCCTCTGCGGTATTCCCACACAAACGTTTGTTGCCGGTTTAGATGTGTTCACAAGGCCGGCCTGGTGTGGACCGACCTCAAGGTGGACAACTTTGTTTTGTGCGAGCGAGATGAGGCGAAGGCGATAGACTTGGAGGGTGCCGTGCCAGCGCGTTCAGGGCCCAAGAGCTATACTCCTGCTACAATGCCTCCAGACTTTGTCATCGCATCCCGGGGTGGGGTAAGTCCATTCTTGTGGGAGAGAGGGGGTTGCTTGACGCCGTCCTTCGTCTCGGGGTTCGGCGCTTCCATTTACTGTTTCTACGTTTGACGAAGTGTCGGGTGATGCGCTAAGCATCCATAAACGTTTATGTCGGAATATTTTGGGTGCATGATTCAAGGAAATAAGGAAACGACCTTGCAGAGGTTACCAGGCCTGTCGTTGAATCGCGAAGCCGTGGAGTCTGCCTTGGGTGATATTTGCGAATGTTTCACCTGTTGGGTATCACGTCTTTGACGTACGTCACTATGTCACTTGTATCTGCTCGTTTCCATTATCTCCCGTGCGTACTCCAGTTCGCTGGTGTGACAGTTGATCGTAGTTTCGACGTTTGGAGCCTGGGTATGGCTGTACTGCACTTGTACATGGGACGGAGCTACTTTCAGGGTAGCAGTGACCCCCAGGTGAGGGACCGCATGGGTGTGGGGACTAAGTAGAGGCCCGGCACAAGAGGTTGGCCTGCTTGGACGAGTAGCCACAAACAAGCCACGAGCTCGCACCAGCGCGGAGTGGCCAGCAACGCCTTCCTGGTCTTGGCCAATCTCTCTGACTCTCTCTTGCCGTGTTTGTCACGTCGTTGAGTTCTTTTCACGCCCATTCCAAAGTCGATGTCTAGGCGCTGTGGGCATCAACGCGCAGAGCGAGGATTGACTGCTGGCACTACAAGTATATTGCTTTAGTCTTCAGCTGCTGCGATAATGTTCTTCGTTGCGAGGGCAGCTCTTGTTGGCATGTGTCGTAGCATGCACGGATAGGTGTTAACGTTTGCCCCACCGGCACACCACACGATTAAGATCGTGACGGATATCCGTAGCGACACGGTCCCAATGTCGCTGGCTTGGAGACCAGGATGTTCTGTACTATCCAAGTTCCTACGGGCGTACCTTGGTAAGGACGCACCATTCTGCCTAATAAAAAAAAAATGACAGGCCTCCCCCTCTTGTCGTTGTGTTCATTTTGCAGGCCGTCCTCAACGGTAGGATGTAGGACGTAGGATGGATTGAATAAATGGATATCTCCGTGAACGTGAGAGACGTGAGAAAGGTAGAACAGGGAACTGCTGTACGGATTGTGACAAGGTAGCTGGCCGGCTGCACTTGTACGCGGGTATGGCATGGCCCACAGGCTGTAACCTGTGGCAACACCCCGAATTTAGGTAGATCTCCAACAGGTCATCTGTCTGGCACGTGACTTCCTACGAGACAATCTGCGGTAACCTTCACATCTGTCGTACCTCTGTTTTTTTTTCTTGTGTCACTTGAATTGCACATGCACACTACTGTTAAGACCATCGCCGCGGTCGGACAGCCGCAGTTTACCGTGGATCTGTCGGGGGTGACGGATGGCCGTACGAGAGGACTGCTGGAGGGTCTGCTCAACCCAGATCCCAAGAAACGACTACAATATTTTGACTCCGTTAGCTGTCGATTAGCTCTGTTGTAATTTGTATGTGTGCATCGACCCCCTGGGACCCGTGTCACTTGCTCGTCTTCTTGGGGACGAACAGGGGTTGGAGAGCACTCAGCATGCCTTGTTCGGGTGAAAATCACCCTGCGATAGCATCTACTTTTCATTGTGTCATTGTGAGGCTGGTGTACATTTTGCGGCCGCGGTTCAACACTCTCGACGAGGAGCAGCGTGGCTCCGTGGAGAGGTGAAGATTAGGGCAGAGGACCTTACAAGGGTTACAGGGTTCATCCACCAGCCGACTCGGGCAAAAAAAAGTCAATTGCTATTGACTGAGTCTCAACGCAACGGGATGCAGCGCGAGACAAGTGGAGCATGTTTCGAACGATTCGCTTTTTTTGCTTTTGATTCAAGAGCAAATCGCTTGCGCCAGCCGATCAAGAGTACGCCTGTCCGCATCAAATAAATTCGTCGATTTGACCAACGGGCGCTTCCACCAGCCTTGCTGGTTTATATTAAGCCGTGTGGGTTATTGGTCAACGGTTGGCCGACCACGAAACAAAATAACCGCACATCTCTTTGTCCATTTCCTTGCAGCAAATTTCCCACCCAGCATGTGGATAACACAAGTGGCGCAAGTAGTAGCACCATCCTGCTAGCAGAGTACGTACCGTGCAATGTCCCCTCACACTGTTCGCAATACATCTCTTCCGTCGAACACGTCAAGGACATGCACATTCTCCTAACGGTACAGTCAGGGCGAACAAGAAACGAGTGTGGACGCACCAAAGAGGTACAGCCCGGCAAACGTAAGGAGACAAGGCGCAGCACTCCCGTCACCGTCTCTGAGCCGGCAACTATCGACTTTAGGTTTTCCATGTCCGTATACGCTCACACACCAACGTTTTTTTCATCTTTTTTCTATACGCACGACTCAAACCTCCCAAAATCCGTTCCAAGACTAACATTTCTGGGGTGGAACATATTAGGAAGTCAGCGCGCTATAAACTCACGAGCACTACAGTAGTAACACGGAAACAGCAACATATGATCACCTACCGTTCTACACGAAACGTGCGTGCACACGGCAATAAATATTTTACAAGTATAATCTCTGAATAAATCCATGTCTCCATCGCGGACGTCCGCACTCGTGGAACAAGTCGCATCGAACACTCCATGGCCAACCTGAAACGCCCCAAGTGGGGGCAGGAATGACACAACTCAACCTTCTTGCTTGTAGCCAATCCCACAACAGCACGAGCATCAACAAGGCTGTGTATGGGAGGCATCACAGCACAAGAAAAATATGCTCATTTTTCTTTTGTGGCGCAAAGCAGGAAGGCAAAAAAACCGCCAAAAGTTCCTCATACCGAGTCCCGAGTAAGCAAACAAACAACGCACCCCGTCGAAAAACCGGGGTCAATCACACCGTCACCCACCTGCAAACGACCACAGTGCATACTACTGCTGCTGGTGTTCATTCGGAGATTTTGCCTGAACCCACCACATTGTAAAAATAAAACCATCCTCCCTCTTACGGGGGACAGATCTTTCGCAACCCTTGCCCCTTCCTTCTCCAGAGCCTGACCTCTCCAACACACATCGTACTCGACGAGAGCTCACGCCCTCAGCACCGGCACCGCGTTGATCGATATCTCCCCGTCCTCTACCTCCCCGCTTTCTATCGCATTAACGGCAGCGGAAGAAGCCACCGTCGACGCACTACTGGACTCTCCCCCTCGCCCGCTACCGCCCATTCTCGATCTCTTGCCCCCGCTGCCGGGGTCAGAAGATGACTCATCCCCTATCCCTGCATCACGCGACCTCTTGCCTTTTCCTTCCTGCCCCCCGCCCGTGGACACACCCTGTGCGCTACTGGCTCCGGCCTTCCCGGTCGGAGGAGAGCCGCCGGTGCTACCAACCCTACCGTCCGAAAACCCATGTGGCCTCGCCTCGGTGCTCTTCTGCAGCGGCATTGCATCACTGCTAGTGCTTCCGTTGGGGGTACTCGAGTGGGGCTTGGGAGGGTGTGGAGGGACCGACGATGAGAAGGGCGTCGCCGAATGCCTGCTACCAGAGTCCGTGTACGCATTCACGGCAGAAGGGGTGGTCGGCAGGCGCGGGGGTGGTGGCCGCGGTCTGGGCTTGGAGCTGCTGCTGCTGCTATGCGGCTGGCCATTCGTGGAGAGGGGCTTTGGAGTAGACGGCGGTCTCGGCCTTGGAGTTGAGGGTGGGCGTGGTTTGGAGTTGCTGCTGGGCAGCTGGCCGTGGGTGGAAGGAGGTCTGGGCTTGGCTGTAGACGGCGGTCGGGGCTTGGGAGTGCTTGGGGGCTTGGGAGTGCTTGGGGGCTTGGGAGTGCTTGGGGGCTTGGGTGTGCCTTCTGGCTTGGGAGTACTCGGGGGTCTAGGCGTCCGCGGTGGCGGTGGCGGTGGGCGAGGTCTTGACGCATTCCCGTTGCTCGTTGCATCTTCCGTACGCCGCCTCTTACCCGACTCCGTGTGGGTACTGGCAGGAGATTGGCAACTGGGTGACCTCGGGCGCGGTTGACCGATCGATGAAGACCTGTCGTGCGATGACGATCCACTGCGTGACGCGACGGCACTGCTATTCAGGTCTCCTCCCCCCATCCCCCGCTTCAAGCCGTGGGATGATTGGATAGATGAAGACCGTGCCGCCATCCGATCCCGGTCGGCGTAAGTTAGCCCTGAGGGCTGGCGCGGGACTCGGTTCGGGGCGTTCTTATTCTTAATGTGGCCCGCTTCAACCAGGGCGGCGGCAACACGCTTCTTGGTGATTTTCTTGCCGGTCTTGCCGGAGTCATCGTCCAGCGTTTCCAGTAGTTGGCATGCCGCTCCTGCCCAACCCCAAAAAAAAGGTCGAGCGGAGGAGCAAGCGCGACTAACAGAATGAGAATATACACAAAAGGCCAGGTTCCTACATTTGTTTCCTGGACGGGTCTTCCTCTGCGAGCGCTTGTTCGCTCGTTTCGCTAGGTTTTTTTTTTCCCTTAAATACACGTCCATATCTATCCACCTGTTCACTATGGGTATCGTCCAAGTGTCGCAAAACGACATTGCCCAAACCCAACGAACTTGTACCTCTGCCAAGGTTTAGAACACGCTCATGACCATGTCTCGGGTTTCCTAAAACAACGCGATCGATCAAACCGACAGGTACCGCTTGTTCGAAAATACCAAGAGCGATCTACAACACGGCGAGTCACACGTACTGTTGAGTTGGCGGTGGTCCTCGAACTCGATCATCTCAGCCCAGCCGCCCGGCGGTGGCGAGATGTTGTTGACAAGCAGGGACAGGTACGTCACCAGCCTCGCGCGGAAAGTCGGCGGGTACTCGAGGCACAATGTCCCCCTCAAGCTGTGAAGATTCCACAAAGGGTGGGTTATACACGTATAGATCGTGCATAAGAGCGAGGGTAAGGGAGCTGAAAAATGCAACCTCTCTCGGTACACCAGGATGGGCTGGGGTTAGGGGCGCGGTAGGGCCAAGTGATGCAACCAAAGGACTGTCGTCATCGACAAGTTCACAAGCGGCGCCTGACCTGCCCTTTCCACACGCCCCCGACTTCAGCAACCCGTCAGGCACAAGACCCGGTGCACTGATCGGCCCCCCAATTTCTTCCCTTGCCCTTGTTGCCGGCCAAGCTTTGCTTCGTGCTTGCGAAAACATAGCGAATCGCAATTCGCCTGCTCGCAACGCTCTGATGCTGCCGCTACTGCTTCCAACACCAGGAAAGGGATTGCTCCTCGTGTTCGCGGAAACAACCACAAAATGCACGCGATTTTCCACGCGAAGGTACGCAAACCAAAGCTCGCTAAACAACGCCAACGTACCTCTTGATCAACAGATGGTGAGAGCCCTTGGAGATCAGTGCCGACTTGTCTGCCGGCACCCAGCCTTTTATGCCAGGATTAGAGAGCGCGTTGTCGAGGCGTGAGAGCATGCCAAATCATCGCAAGAAATGGCATGCGACAAGGCGATATCGTGCATTGCGTGTACCTATTCTGTCCTCATGCTCATGACATCTGTATCACGGGCTGTAACACTCGCCAGAGGCCATGAAGCTGAGGCAATTTGGGCAATTAATTGCCTGCTGCACACGTGCGGTTAGCACATGCACCAGGTGTATCCCGTACAACATGTTTGGGTGGTGGTCCCCTGACGCGATATGAAATCGCCTCGACCACAATCCCTTGCCAACAACAACACGACGCAACCATCATCCGCTTCCCGCTAGTCAAACCACGGTACCCTCTTCGGCACATACTCGGTCTCAAAGGACAGGAAGCAAACGCAAGTCCGTGACGAGGCCCCCGTGCCTCACCCTCTTCACAAAGGTAGGCCACCAGGTCGTTGGAGTGACCGAAGGGGTGCTCGATCATGAAGTCGAACCCCAACGCGTTCACCAGCTGGTTCTCTGCTTTCAACAGGCGGTCTTTGTACCTGTTGTACTCCTGAGACCCAAGGGCACGCGGCGGAGCGGTGTGACTGACTTGTTCACAGATGCAGGACACAACTCATTCGGCGATGGTCCGCATGAAATCCACGCCGTGTAGATGTATCTTCGCTTATCAACACTTCGCAACAGAACACCGGTGAATAAACAAATGGATCGCACTTACAACAATGTACATGAGCTACTCACTGGGTGTATTTTGGCGCTGTACAGTCCTGCTGTAGACTGAAAATGACCGCACAACTGAGAGAATGATGCAATAATAGTACCACCTGTACAAACAATCCGGTATCCATTGTACTCACATCAGAATTTTCTACTAGCCTGCGCTGGTTCTTGTGCCTAACTCTGTGGGTCACCATCATCACATCCTTGATGTGAACGCGAAACTCTTCAACCTTGGAGGCCAAGAAGATAGCCGCAGCAGCAGTGTCCTGAGTGGCAACGACACAACGTGATTGCATCCAAGGCAGCGGTCCCAATGTCATTTGCCATATTTTAAAGAAACATCTGCCATGCCATGAAAACCAAAGCCGGAGCACGAAATACCTTGCGATCTCCCCACAATTTTTTTTTCGGCAGCCTGCGGCTGTTTTCTCCAAACATGTGCTGAACCGAATGCATGAGACACATCATGAGAATATATATTTTTTGATCCAGAACTCCGACAAGCGGTCAGGGATAGGGCAATATCCTAGGTTGGAAGCGACCCCAAAAAAATGTACAGCAACAGGCCGTGTACGAACCAGAAACCAGCAGTTTCGAAAGGAAGCGTTCTATCCATCGGAGTAAATCTTTCCTCCTCCGTCCCCGACCGCCCCGACTACTGGAACTCTAGAGGTTGAATACAGAAGGTTCCCGTCAACCATTGCACTTCACTCAGTCGGGAAACGGAAAAGGCGTCTCACACTCCGGTCGATCTTCCTGAAGGAAACTTGAGAAAAATACCGCTGGGAGATGGTCATCGCGGCAGCAATCACAAGCGCCTTTGCTCGGAGAACCTGGCAGCAGTCATAGATGAATGTGTGTGCCTTTCTGCGGTACTCCTTCTCCTCGCTATCATTCCTGGGGCGTGAGGGTGGGAACCGAAAGACAAGCAAAATATGTAATCATGCAGCAGGTTCAACATAATTGTTTAATGCGTGCGAAGTAGTTCTTCAACGATACACAGCAAAAATAGGAAGACAAGTGCCGCAACGAAGGACAGAGACGACGTTGTCACATACAGTAGGGCCCCTCTATAGTGCCGGTATGTGTTCAGAGAGCAAAGCGGCACTATACCGGGCACCGGCACTATTCAGAGTACAGAAAGACTTGATATTCCGGTGTGTGCGAGCCGAAAACACCGGCACTATACCGGCAACCGGCACTATTCAACCGGCACTATATCGGGCCACCCACTGTACCGTAAGCACCGATACTCGACACCAGCACTCCGAATGTCGTATCGGATACAAGTAGTCGAAGTGCGCATGCACACTCGCAGCTCTATTTGCAGATAGGTGATATGCTGTGCATATAGAACCGTTTCAATGTCGATGTTGCTTCACCACAGCGGAGAAAATGGTGTGCGTGGTGACATCGTAAATATGAATGTGCATACGCGTACATTATGTATCATGGCACGTACCTGCGGAGTTTTACTATACAATCACCAAACAACATCGGCAACATCAATACCACTGACAACACGTATTCTATCTACATTGGTCGATCGATCCGTTTCCAGGAAAACACAGGAATCAACAACAAACGTGTACACAAACTAGGCGGGACAAGACGTACACGCATCTCCCCGGCGTAGGTTCCTTCGAGAAAAAAATGGCCACCAGGTTATGAAGGCGTGTGTGTGCCACTCGTCGTTTTTTTCTTTTACATCGAAAAATGGGCCGATATCCGAAGGAGTTGGGGGATGTCATCGTGCCAGCAATTGGCGTCAACACAGAACTTGGATAAGAATACAACAGATATAACTTCACCGACGTCCACGGTGACTACGTGCACGTAGACATGGATGCAGATGGCCCTCTCATATACTTGTTTACGGTTGTTCCGCGCGTTGTGGTGTGAGCTTTACCCTCCGTCTCTGCCTCCACAACAGGGGTCCCCCCGCTCGCGGTGGTCAATACTTGGTCCAAGTGCTACTGGGTGGTCGGGAAGAGTCATGCCCGCAAAAAATAAACCAAACACATGACGGCGACAGGGCACAAGAACCAAGGTAATCAGCGTTGAAAGGGATGGGCCATGTACATCGATCGTCCTATGACAGACCCTCCTTCGTTCCACGCGCCCAACCACAGAAGAGTCTCGCAAACGTCAGAAAGAGCGAAAGGAGGGTTTTCTCACATGTTGTCCCTGAGGGAGGGCGGGTTCGCGAGCTCCTCCTGAGTGAACTTCCATCCACGGCTTTCCCAACCCAAATCCGAACGCTTCCCCACTTTCGTAATAACCGCACGCTCCTTCCCATTAGCCGTCAGCTTCTCGGGATTGCCACCGCCGCTAGCCACCGTCGTCTGCTCCATCACGCTCTCCCGCCCTTTGCTTCCACACTCCGGCTGTGACCGGCAAAAAGTCGAAACAAAAGTTTTTCTGTGGTATGGTGCGTCTACCTCCAGTCGCCGACACCCGAAACCCGCGCTGGTCTATCCTCCTCTCCCACAGCTCCGTTGTTGATACGCTGTCCTACCTGCTGTTCCCAGGTAACGGGGCCGGTGGTGTTCGGATTGATTTGCTCTGTCTCTCTGCCGGTCGCCTTTTTTTCTTTTTTCAAAGGGGGGGAGGACGTTTCTTCCCCTGAGAAATAACGCCTCTTTCTGCTCGGCGAACTGTTTTCGACGCAGTCTGCTGGTGCTGCTGGTGCTGCGGCTAACTCATAAGAAGGGCCAAACAATACTCCAATTTCATTAAGGATCTGACATTGGTGTATTTATGTGGCGCACTCGTTATCTAACGGCTGAGTTAAGGGAGGTAAAATACCGGCCGAAGCCGTGCAACTCAGTATGTAAACTGCTTTGTCGTATGCGTGATGTGTAGACTAGTCTATCTAAAAACTTGTGACGGTTGTCGGGTAAAAGCCACCACAGCTTCATGTAGGGCTCCGCTCATTTGTGACATTAGAAGGTACTGAGCGGAGACCGGAGCGGTTTAATAATGTCAAGAACAACAACAACAACAACTAATAAGCTCTACTGAGAACTTTGATCGACTGAAAAATATATATGCGGGTGGGTATGTGAGATCCGACGGTAGATCCTGCTGGAGATCCCTGTAAGTAGGTATCTATTAGATGTCTCGGGAATAATATAAATATTCGACTGTGGGTATATCTCGAATGGGTAGTCTTTCTGTACGTGTATTTATTTCTCCTTAATAAATATAGAGGCTACATTGTGCCCGTTCGAGATACAACCACAGCAGCCTCAAGATCTTAGACGTCAACGTGTGTCGTGGACAACTCAACAGTTGGAGGGGTGAAGCAGGCGTAATTGAGATTGTTGCTGTAGCCTGATAACAAGTACATTGTATTGACTTACTGAAAGGAAGGATGAGCGGGCAATACTTCCTTCATCGGACAAGCCGGCCAGATCATGTAGCCAGGGGTCACGAATGGAATTTCCCGAAGATTCGCAAACATCGAGGTGCCTGCAACTACAGCAGTTGTTGTTCCGATCTCTCCCTACCCAGTACCTTCAAATGTCCGCACTGATCCAACACTTGACGCGGTCGATTCCCGTGGGCACAGCCTGACTTACCTTCAAAACAAGGTACACTCAAACAAACTGGCTCCGAGGGGTTCGCGAGTCAAATAGAAATCAACGACAGATATTCTGGAGTCCTCCGCTCCCTCTGCGCGCAATGCGAGGTAACATCTGAGACTAGGAGTCGGGATCACGGGCCAGAGAGAAAGAGGTACACCCCCTTTTGGTTCAATCTTGGTACTTCACAACGTAAGAAGAGACAAGGCCATCTGACGCAGAAAAAGCGAGGAAAAAGAGAGAAAAAGAGAAAATCAGTGCCAATGTGCCAATCCTTCACCACTGGTTGGGAGATCGGGGGCGTTTTCTGAACCAATCCTCCAACACCAAACCTGCTTCATTTTTGCGAGAGAAAGAAGCTCGGGAACGACGCGAGCTATGCGTACGTAGAAACGTCCCTCTCGAACTGATTGATGTCATTTCATGGGATTTTGCGTGTAACATTAATATCAATTGTCTCACAACATCCCAAGACAACACGAGAAAATCGCCGACAACACTTCACTCAACATTGTAGTCTGTTAATGAACCGACGAGCAAATCCAAACAAGCCTGCAACGAATTGAAGTGCAACAGCGACGAGGTTTGCAAAAATAAACGCATACCTACATTCCAGTGCCTCGATATCGCCAAACGTGATGCACCGACCTTGACACTGTTCCAAGACTCTTTACACGCCATCGGTGCGTTACAACCGACTAGCAAGGGAGGCGTTTATTCCCGCAATCACGCTATGGTAAAACGCCCTGTCGGGGGAAAACCCAGCGCTCTTCATTTCTGTGATGAGCTCCAAGCCGCGCTGCATATTCCCCGCATTCGAGCACGCCTGCACCGCACAGCTCAAAATCAGCGCATCCGGCGGCAGTCCCTGCATCTGCCTGCGTCGCAGCAAGTGTATCGCCGCGTCAGCGTTGTTTCCCTCGCGACAAGCCAAGGCTGCCACGCCGTAGGTCCTCTCGTTCGGCGGGTGACCCGCCGCTTCCATTTCGTCCAACAGAAGGGACGCCGATGTCCGCTCGCCGGCCCGACATGCCGCCGCGACAACATAACCATACGTTACCACTCCCGGCTCGATGCCATCCTCGCGCATGCGGTCGAGAAGCTTGAGAGCCATCGGCAGATTGCCGGTCCTACCGCAGGTGTCGAGGGGGGCGGAAAAGGTGCTCTCGTCGGGCTCGATGTCTTCCCGCCTCATCCTGTCCATCTCTTCTAACATCCTTGGCCAGTCCCTGTATAAATCATACCGGCATAAAAAAGATCACGATATGCCTAGGGTATGTATGATTGACGTCGGTGCTCTTTGCAGCCCAAGAGCTACAAGGCAACACGAGCGTGCGGTCGTTTGAAGAGGAACATCGGGCAAACAACACTATCAAAACGACAAAATCCAATAACTCCGAAGAGATGCCAGGGGGGATTTGATTTAGAGGAGGCGTTTGCTGTTCGTAGCAGTACCCGCACAAACACTTGAGATACGAAAAAGGACAATTATCGGGCGGGCAAGATCTCGACATTGATAAGTAGCAGACGTGTACCGTACGTGCGCGATTCGATTTAGCGGAGGCGTTCACTGTTCGGAGCAGGACCAGCACAACACTTAAAACACGAAAAAAGGACGGTTTCAAGCGGGTTAGATCTCAATATGATGAGAGTTGAGAGCACTAACCCGCCATCGCCAATCCCCATGTTCTACAGCAAGTAATTTAACATACATGAATCTCACCTCGCACGCGCACAAGAGCCAATTGCGATGTTGTAAAGCACGAGGTTCGGCCCGCTAGTGGCGGACATGTCCCGCATTTCCTGCAGAATACCGAGGACGTCGTCCAGTCGTCCCTGTGAGATTGGCGAAAAAAAAGATTCAGTGACCCATGTGTCCAGCGTATCCACTTCGGAAGGACTATACGTTGTCGGCAGGAAAGAGCTTACTACGTCATTTCAATCAAAACCACACGAACCGGATATCTACCTTTCAGCACAGCACGAGCTCACCGCTTTAGAGCATGCCATCATTGCTGTGCTGAAGATATAACTATCAGGCACGAGATCCTCTTGTTCCTTCATGTCGGCCAAGAGCAGGAGAGTGCGCTCCCACTCTCCACTCTTTTCGCACGCTGCGCGATGTTCCAGGTCAACAGAAAGCCGGAACGCGCAACAGGAGGCGAGAAGCAATCAAATACTTGGAACAGTCTAGACAAAAGCACAAGCACTCGACTACCCCTATCCCCAATGAGTCGACAATCTCTTACCAACCTCATACACGAAGGGTACCACCGGCGCTGCAGGAATTTGCCATGAAACATAGTCTTCGATTTACAGAGGAGCCCCGATCACCCTGTTTTCATGTTGAAGGGGCACACCCCATCGTCATATACTCGTTGAAAAAAATCCACCACCTACGAGGCAAAATAACACAGAGACCAGAACGGTTCCAGGAGCCAGCTGCTCTCAGTGCAACGTGCAGCTAAAATTATAGGTGAACCTGCCATGCAGCGGCTGTACGTGAACTCAGTAGGTCGGACTCTTTCTTGCTTCATCTCGGCTAGCATTTCGAGAGCTTTCATCCACTCCCCAGCCTTCGCCAAAGCCTCTATAACGACGTTGTAGCTGGATACGGTCGGTACCAAGCCGGCCTCCTCTTTCAGGCTCCCCATCAGATCAATGACCGTCCGCCACCTGCCATCAAGTGCACGCCAGCTGTGTCAGTCTCACGCATAAACTCTGGAGGTTAGGCGTGGGGCATTAAGGCGCACGAAGCGTCACAGATCGATCGTCAACGCACGCTTCAATGACGATTTTCACCATCGTCCGGCAATAACGGCGCGTCTACGTACTCACATCGCACGCCTTGGTGCGAATTGTGTTGTGAGGGCGACGGCGATAGCGCTGCTTGTGCCCCACAAACACTACTCTCACCTCCCTTCCCGTCCGAACGCCCGCATCACAAGGACGTAGCTCGTTTCATCGGCACTGCAGTGTTCTGATTCCACCGACATGTCGCCCAATAGAGTGAGAGCGGCGACAGACTGCTGCGCCCGACAGCACGCCATGATGGCCGCGTTGTACTCTCTTGATGTCACGACAGCCAGAGAGTCTTGTCGCATCCTTTGGAGAAGGGAAGTTGCCTCTTCCCACTGGCCCCCATTCCCGCAAGCCTTAATCGCACCGTGAAAGGCCGCGGTTACTGTCTGCAACGTTTACGTTGTAGAAATGACAACACAAGGGGGGGCAGCCGGGAGCCATAACCGACGAAGCTCCAGCAGGCCGTTCATCCCAAAACCCATAACCACAGACCACAACGCCGTCTACGGTGTCGCGCTCATGCGCTTCTTTTCAATTTGGGAATGTAAGTGTTGTAAGGTTTTTACGGATATGGTCGTGGAAGAGTTTGTTGAGGTTTTGTGAATATCAAGCCATCACTGTGGTCATGGAAGAGTTTGTGGTACACAGCTACAATAGTCACTCTCACCCTCTCGTCTCGAGGGTGAAACATCAAAACCCTGTCTAGGAGCTCCAACGCCAGGTCCATTACACCGCCTCGAGCACATGCCTCCATTGCGGCGACGTAAGCAGCGCCATTAGGACGCAAACCCTCAGCCTGCATGTCCTCGAGAATAGACAGAGCAGCACGCCATTCTCCAGCACCACTGCACGCCTGAGGCAAGAAATTGAGAGCGGGATCAAAAGAGAAGTATTAAAGAGAAGTATGGAATTGAGAACGTCAACACGTCACAGGGAACGAGCAGGAGAGTTCATTGCTGCATGGTCAAAACGACATGATTCTGTAGACACCAGGTTAGCAATGGAAACCACCTGCATTGCGCCGGTTCTCAACATAACGCTCCGAGGTAGTCCGTCATCCTGATCGAGCAGTGCGAGAGCGCCCCATGCATCTCTCGCCGCAGCTTGAGTCTTCATTGCACAATACACAAGATCTTCTCCTTGTTGCCCGACCAACCAGCCGTTCT